GAGACGACTATTTCGTCACCTTCTGTCACTCTCCCTACAAGTGACTCGACTTCGCACGAGTACCTCCTTCTCTTTAGACTACACTTCGTCGTCGAGTCTAGGTCTGTCTTCTCTCTTCACTCAGCTCAGGGTCTCTCGAAGTCCTCTTCGACCTCGACCTCTCCGACTCGACTTCTCACTCTTCTACGACTCGACTCGACGACAAGAGTGTGGACCTCCTAGTTAGTTGGTCAATAAGACAGTCGATGGGGAGGAGTGACAGTCGGGAGTCCTTCGAGTGGTGTGAAGGAGGTCGTAGTGTAGCAGGAGCTCATGAAACTTCATGCACTGCGCGGGACAGTGCGTAGTCTCTGTTATGTCCTGCAGGACTCTCTCTTTCCTGTTTGCAACAGTGGGTCTGACTTCACCTACAGAAATGACAGTCGTCGTCTCGGTGGTGGTCTCGCCCAAAATTTTGTAGTGTGACTCTAGAGACCTAGGTTTGTGTCGTGTGTGTGTCGACATAATAGACTCCGTCGTCTATTACGATGTATGATGTACCCTGTATGTAGTCAGAAATAAGGTCAAGTAAGCGTCTGTCTAAGTTCAATACAAATAGGAGTCCAGGACTCATCCTCTCAGACTGACCTGCACGATGACCCTCCACTCACCTCTCCCTCTCCTCCTCAACTACCAACGTCAGTGTATGTTCTATGTCATCTCGTCCCACCCTTTCACCTAACCCTAGGTTACTTTAGAACCAGGAATCTAACCGCTAATTTTGTCAATAAAGGTAGAACTAATGTTGTTATAGCTTGTGGAACAGAGTCCCAGGAGTCAGGAGGTCTCATCCCTCACATGGAACTAGTGTCTCGTCCATAAGACAGGAAGATGTCGGCACAAAGAGTTTGAAAAAGTATGGTTCATGGTGAATTGGTTATTATTTTTTGTAAAGCCACAACGCGACCCGATATAGTACGTTATATTAAGTTGGATTCGAGCAGGTAACCGCCCTCTATAAGGGCGCTATACACGCCTTTTGAATAACATAAAAAAATAAGTTTACACTTTACATGTTATATGAGGGCTGGTGTCCCCGCGAGTGCGCCCGTGGTCACCCAGCGCCTGGTGTGAACTCTTCGTGACAGATGCGTAGAGCTTTGGTACTGTGAGGAGGGTCTCAGGTCTGGGTATCAAGGAGTCGGCGATGTACGACCTCAAGCGAAATTAATAGGAACACCTCTGTGTCGGCTAACACACGTTTTGGACATTGTATGGACTTCAGTAAACTCCTTGAGAACATGAAATAATTTGAGTACCACCGGATAGTAACTACGACTCTCGACTACAAGTACAGAAGTGACGTGTCTCTAGTCGACAGTTAGTTTGTAATACCTTACACGAATTGTAGAGAGAGTACTCAGTACAAGACATCTACATACACCTCAAAGAAATCCCGCCGCGAGGAAGGAAACAGACAAATCGGTACCTCCGCAGTGGACGAGTGACACCAATCACTCCTTAAACACATATTGGAGTTGACTCTAAAGAGACGTACTTTTCATCTCGTGGTCTCGAAGAAAGGGTAACTTCTATAAATAAGTTTGCAATAAAATAAAAACTGATTCAGTGTTTCACAACTTCGTATTTACTTTCAAACTTCTTCCTTTATCTGTGTGTAATTTCTTCTTCAGTTTGTTTTCTTTTCGATGTGCCCAACCTCAAACGTTCTGTAACACCAAGTTAAAAGTTCTTACACCTCCTACTCACGGTGCAATTGTACAGCACTAACCACGACTTCTCGGATTCTCTGTTCCCACTTATTAGAGTCAGGATACAAAAAAATAATATTTTTGATAATAATAATAAAAAGACATTTTTATATAAACCGTATTTATTTAATTAAATTAAAATCCTTATTCTTGCGTCTCTGTAAGTGCTAAGAAAGAATTAAAAACTTTTTTGTAAGACCTTTTGAAGACATCGACTACGTCGAGAAACATCGCATTGGTTGGGACGAGTACAAAGCGTCCAACCACACCTAAATTAGAAGTTGGACCGAGACGTACCACAAAACCGGAAAACCGTGTAACGACAAAAATTTATTTGTACAGTGGCAAAACTTCAACGTGTGCCAATGAGGGTCTATGGAGATAAATAGATATGCCGGCGACCAATCGAGGAATTACATTACAAACCAGCAACATCGCGCTATGTGGGACACCGGTGTAAAACATGTAAATATTGCTTTATATAGCTCAAATGTTCATTTATTTTCCATTTTACATAAAGAAGAGACAAGAAGTCCTCTCACTCCTTTGACGACGTTGTGAAGAAAATTCTAGGCATTTTGGCCCTACTGTACTTTGGGTCATTGCTTTTTCCACGTTTAAATACTGCTGTTAATATTGAATAAAACGTTTGATGTATTCGTATAAACGGTGACACAGCCACAAATTACGTAAATATAACATTGTATATATGTAATTAGACGGTATATAAAGGCCCTAGGGGGACGAAGTGGCCGACGCCCTTTTTTCGGGAGACGTCTCGCAGGCGGCCCTCCGCGGCCTCTCGCCGTGTATGTGTGTGTGTGACCGAGGATATTTCTACACTTTTACACGCCTTCTGTGTTTACGAGACCTTCTCCTCTAAAGGTTGGCCTGGCTTCGCGTGATTGAACTGGGTCAAAGTGGTTAAACCTTGTCTCACGCCGCATCAACGACGCTTTTCGTTGATAACGGGCCATTGCGAAACCTCTTACAACCACAATGATAAAACCAATTGGGCAGGTAAGTGGTACCCGCTTTACTACGATCCGATGAGGAGCATCGATGCGACGGGCTACACTCAATCGAGGGTACGGAGCCATCGATTTCCGTTCGAATACAGTACCGTAAAATTGTGGATAAACATAAGGCCGATCCAGGACAGTTACTCGATAATAGTAATGAATATACAGTATAAAGGAAGCTATAAAGTCAACACAATACCGAACTGTAGGTAGCAGCACACGATAGGGCAATTGGTATCGAACGATCGTCGAGCCAGTGGTGTTACCAGATTTATTGGTGGTGCTCCGAGCACTTTTAGTTGACATAGACCATTTAATGACGGTGTGTGTCGACAGAGACAAGTCTCTATAGTATCCCGTCTAAATCCTGCACTATATTTGAGTTAATTACTAGCTTACTCGACACCAAACTGTCTTCTAATTGGGGCGCACTTATAATGGTTTGTTGGTGGTCTACCATACTATAAACACCGACACTCCGATTAATGTCTATGTATACATACCGAAAGGTTGTAGACTTTACGATGTGAGTTTCGATGTAACGATAATACAGAATAGTGAATAACACTTACCAACGTAAAACCGCCACACACTAGTCCAAGGTAAGCCACCTCCTGCTGAAGCAGCTTCACCTCCTTCTCTCCTGGAGCTTCTTGGTGGGCTCCACCAGCTTGTGTTTTTTTAATGGAGCTACGTCATAATGAGACTGGAGGTGTTTGTCACAGTAAGATATGAGACACACGAGGCAGGACTTACAGGCTCTCAGTTTCCTCCCAGTGCAGACATCACAGGCCACATCTCCAGCTCCAGCATAGCAGAGATCAGCAGGAGCAGCTTGGAGTCCAGTCTTCTTCAGCTCCTCCATTAAAGCTGCTAACATGGTTTTTTTCAGCAGGACAGGCCTCGGTGTGAAGCTCTGCCTATACACTGAGGGCAGCTGCGGATCTACTCCTCCTCTCCATCCCAGAAGCCTTTAATACACTCCATGCAGTAGCTGTGTCCACACTACAGGAAGTCGTCACCGGATCCTTCAGTAGATCAAGACAGATCAGACAAGAGAAGAGATCTTTCTTTGTAAAAGGCATAATACGGATCATATTGATTCGAGAATTGATGATTGATGAAATTGAACATACATTAAACCATGACAAACGTTACGTTGGTTAGTTAAGTAGACCAGACAATTGTTGGTTAGATAGCTAACGTTTTAAACCTCTACATGTTTTTTTTTACGTTAGCAAGCTCCAAATAACGTGGTTTATACTATTTTAAAGGTGGGGTAGGTACGTTTGAGAAACCGGCTCGAGATACACTTTTTGTTATATTCCATGGAATGCTCTTAACATCCCGATAGCAATGAATATCTGAAGTGCTTTGACAAAAAATCAAATCCATCTGTGGAAGCCGTAGTACTGAAGTACGACCAATCTTTTTTAGCCGGCCCGGCTAAAATAACTGGATGGCCTACCTGCCTGTCAGCCTTCCATCTGTGCACAAACTTATCTCGTGCCCTCATTGGTCATGTGCGCGTTCGTGTGTGTTGGAGGAGGGGTGTCACGATCTGTCTGTGATTTGTTTTGTCTTGTCTTTTTCTGTCTTTGGTTTCCTGTTTTATTTTGAAAAGTGTTCACCCCCTGTCTTGCCTGTTGCTTTCTGTCTGTGTTCCCTCCTGTCTGATTACCCGATTGTGTTCACCTTGTGCCCCTATGTCAGAAATTAATTGACTATCATCGTCCTTATTGCTCATTACTTATATGAAATAATCCTAGTAATTATAGAATTATTATTTTTTATTACTTTAAGTTAATTGTACGAAATTGGTGATCCACAGGGAAATAGCAGTCCTCACGTAGAAATACACATTTAATTCGGATAGATGGTTAACGGGCTAGTTTTATATTTTCAGTCGGCGTTAATCACAACTATGACGATCCTCTACATAACACACTTTCTGTACATTCTACGACAAATTAACGACTATATATAAACTACAGGTGCAGTTAAGCTCATCAACCGGCGTCAAGAGTCACAAATCGAGATCTTCAGAAGTGTAGTTCTCGAGAAAATAATTTATCCTTAATGTCGTCTATAATTAGGTAAATTACGTCCGCTATGGTCATAATGTTACGGCAAACATTACCTGGAGTTTCTGTTCGTTCGGTGTGAGCGCTTAATTTCACAAAAGCCAGACAAAACGCATAACAAATACTGCTGGACACTACATTCTTTACACGTACACGTCTGACTTAACGTGTCCCCTTTTATTGCATGTATACGTGGTAAATCTACGCCTAAAACAATTTTGATTATCGAACGCGACACAAAGGTTGCTGATATGTAACTGCCCCTTCCCACACCGTTATTTCTATTGTGTATTTGTCAATGGTTTTATTAGTCTTTTTATAGCTATCGTCGCAAGGGATCGTGGTGGAACCATTGTTACTTTTGCAACCATATCTGTGTTAAGGACTTCATTAGAAGCATTAATTATGCTTTGTTTCAGTACATGTAGGTGAAGGTGTGTATTAGACTTTATTGTTGAGTTAAGAGCGTAGTTTACTGTAGTTTTGCGTAAAATTACCGTTGATTTGAAATTTTTATCCGTAAAATGTGCCGTCTATTTTGCTTCAAGCCGGTACAAAAAAAAGAGTCCCTCTTTACAATTCTAGTGCACTGTATCTGCGGTCGGTAACCTTTACTTACCACTTGTTTTTGCATCGCCTAAAATGTTAAGTCTTCGCAAAAACATCTTATATGATGCAGGATGCAACACCGGTTGCACTCAATAAATGTGCAACAAAAAAACCTCTGACCCACTTTGACTAGTTGGGTAAGATTCGGTCACCCGGAGAATAGGGAGAAAAGTGAAGGACAAAAGTTTTCCCGACTAAAACCATATTCGAAATTTTTTTTTCCTTTTAAAAATGTTTTTTCGTACCGCCTCGTACGGACGAGTACGCGCCTCTAAGATGGCGCGGTCTACCGACGGTATTACTTTGCGGTATTAGTACCTAATAGTCCTAATAAAGACTTGTCATACCTCGAGTTTACCGGGAAAGAGAGACGGCAATACTGTGTTCCACTAAGGAAAAATAAAGGACGGAAGAAATGTGTACGAAGAGGTCATGTCCCAATCGAGACTCGACAATCGCTACGATTACCATTTGTGCGGTATAATGCAGGTTTGTCAGAGCCGTAACAAGACTATCGTTGCAAAGACTAATCGAATGATACGACACCGCAGACGTAAAGGTTATAACGAGTATACCTGCGTTTAGACTAGTCAGCAACAATCGTGCGCGGTGTAATAAATACATATTTGTTCTGATGTTTTACACTTTAAACGCTACTATCCAGGGGAAATCCACCAAAGGTTGCGGTTTATTTGTGATACGATGAAAAGGTGGTTTGCCGAAGGCCAAGTTCTTTGGTGAGAAACACGGAAAAGAACCACGAAGTTGAGCAAGAAGAGACAAGACGGGAAAAGGTGGTTTGGCCGAAAGGTCCCGACCAAAGCGCGCGGATTGTCGGACTAAACGAGACGCAAGAAGGACAATGTCGGCGCGTCCGGCCGGGAGATATGTGCTTTGGCCAAGAATCGACTGGGGCGAATGCAGCCTCCCCCGCCCTAGTTGGACTCAATTGTGAAGTACCGCTCATACCGTTTATTTTATCAAACATTGTTCGTCACTCCGCGACCGTTTCACTGCAGAATATTTCAGTCCGTTGTACGAAGCACACTAAGACAAATAACATGCGAATTGGAACTGGTAGCAAGCGGACAATAACTAGTAACACCTCTCCGTCCGTCTGAACAAAAACAAAACATTAATATCGTGGATAGCCTACTTGTATGTACCGACGGTGTCCCCAATCAGTACAGGTTGATAGTGTTCACTAGTATTAACTTTTATGTGGCCATGTTATACGACATCTTTGCCGACATCGATCGTGAAATGTTATTCTGATGGGAATTTCCCAAATGCTTATCAACTTAATTAAATAATAATCCGACGACTTTGTGAAATGATTTAGTAATTATTCGAAAATATGTCTGTACTCTATTGTCCAGTTGACACTGGCCAAACGAACCGGTTTATCACTCGGTGTAAATAGACGTGGACGATTCGGATCATATACCTGATGAATCGAATAAGCAAGAAGAGTAGTGTCGAAGAAGCATAGACAACAAGTGACTGACTAAGAGGGGAAGGTAGACTACAAAGAACCGTAGAGAATACTGGTAAATACTACGCCAATGTTGGTAATATAAACCATTTCCTTGGAATAAAATTTCACCAATTGGTGGTAGTGATAGATAATGCTCAGTGATGTAAATATTGACAGAATTTAATCATATAGACTTTACCACGCAAAAAATTTCACATTATGTATACAGGTAAAATACTTACTCAATATTTGGGGGTGCAGAGCAGATGGATTATGTGTAAAAAGTGTACTTTACGTTTCTTCTACATTTTCTCGTTCGTTTTGTAAAAATAGTGTCTACTTCTTTTAGTCGCTGAGTTTCATTACTGACGTAAATCATACTGGCTATGTGGGTATAAATTTGTATTTTCGAAAAGAGTCTGTAGTTAATGTTCGACCATTTTTCTTATATACGTGAGCTGACCTTTCCGAAACACATATAGGAACTTGTTCGCAGGCTCCGTCAGGTGGTCCCACTCGTCTCGTACTACTTGTAAGTTCTGAACTCACAAGGAGGTTGTTTTGAGAAGACATCGCCAAAGGAGAGTCAGTATAGCCTGTACAGGAACACTAAGAGAGGAGTAATTATTGAAAAAACGGAGTAAAGACTTTTTCTCACTTTACACGGTTGCAACTGCGGAAGAACCACAAACACCACCGCACTCTCCCTCTACATCATAGTAAACTCGCCAAAGTGTGGTTTTTTCACAATGAAAGTTTCAAAATACTGTGTAAAAATAAAAAACTGAATTAATTAAAAGGTAGGGTACCTCCAAGGTGGCCTTTTTCCCTCCCTGAAGCCCGAGAGAATACTGCACAAGAGGCAAACCGTGTCATTGGTAGACATGTGTTGTAACGTCTCTTTCAAGCCCGCATGCTTTGGTATCTGCCATAGGTGTGCTGTGAAAATAGGCCTACAAAAAGTTGAGTCCGTTCATTGTCCATTATGCCATAATAATATGTCCTCCGGAACAGTCGTGTTTCATAAAATATTACGCTACTCTTCTTTTTTTTGTGTAAAGATTACAGGCAAACTATGGTTCTATTGTCAATTTCCACCCCCATCTATGAAACCCTCTTTGGTCGAGCTCACGCGATCTAAACTTTTATATGTTGGCCTTTTTAGCACGGTGAAGAATTGTCTCCGGGACACGTCCCAACTCGCTTTCGTCCGTCTTTGGGTTTGCGTCTAAAGTGTCTTTTTTGTGGAAATAGTTCAGTTTACCTTTGTTTGTCTTTTGAAGAAGGGCACTTGTGTCAGTTCTGTGTGTTCCTGATTGTTTCTGTCTGCCTTTTTTGGTCTTGAATTTATTGGTGTTCTGATTAGTTTCTTTGTTCTCTGTCCACTCCTCGCTCC